GGATACTAAGGAAAGAGTGGAGTTGAATAGAAAATTAAGGGAGAAATTGAGTAATTTGGAGGCTGATGTGGTTCGAGGAAATAATATTATTAACCATTTGGGGGTGTTGAAAGCTCTATCCGAAGCGCTTAGGAAGATTGAGTCATCATAGTTGGAAATCACAGATATGATGCTAATGGAGGCTCCCGAGTTGGCCTTGATGGGATCTTGTGTTCTGGAGATGGTGATGAAGGGTAATGATGTTTACTTGATGAATGTTGGGGATAGTCGAGCAGTTTTAGCAAAAAAGACTGAGAACGATGGGAGGCCAGGGAAGGATTTAGTTGAAATGCTTTATGGGTGGCCTATGGCGATGAATTTGAGAATATGCATAATTTAAGTTCTTCTCAACTCACAATGGATCGTTATACATCTGTTAAAGAGGTAACACACATATTTGTACCTTCTAAGGATAATTGTTTGGTTTTGACGTCCTCTGTTCAATGTTCATGTACTAAATTTTGTATAGTTTCATGTCTCAGGAAGTTAAAAGGATTCGAACTGAGCAACCAGACGATCCCTTTGCCATATTCAACGAAAGAGTGAAAGGTTCGTTGAAGGTCACTCGTGCTTTTGGAGCCTGTTTCCTCAAACAGGTAGAATTGATTTTTAGCTTGTTACGTTGCACATGCAGGCACAATCGAATCACTCAAAAGGTAAAAGTGCAACACCAAGTCATAGTAATATCCCGGATGGTGCTCCTGAGGTTCCGCCAGCTCCTCAACGACAACATTTAGATCATAGTAGTGGCCCCATTTTAATTGAATCAAGTTTTATTTTGCTAGTTATATAGGGCTTATTTTGGCATTGCTCTTTGTATATGTACCATTAGTACTTAATATGTGCAATTGTAAAATGAATTTTACTTTTCTGATTTACAAGTCAGTTTCTTATTTTACTGTCTTATTTTACTTTTCCCCCTTCAATCCAATTCACAGCTTATTCTTTGGAGATGTCCTGCAGGTAATCTCAAGTAAAAGTGGCTTATATTGATACTCAAAAACATGCACATTAACAACTCAAAGCAAAATTAAGGCAACCATTTCGGT